ACTTTTAAATAACCATCTGAAAAGTACGTTTATAAAATACTTAACATTTTTTCATCTTTTACATATTTTTTTGTCTCTCCTTAAAACAAGGTGTTTATCCTGAGAAACTTAAACTGCAAAGGTCATACGTATTTTTAAATTAGGAGGCATTTATAATCCTGAAAATTACAGACCAATTCCAATTCTCCCTTGCTTCTCTACAATCTTAGAGTAAATTATGTATAATCGGATTTTGACTTTTCTAAATACAAATGATATTTTATATAATAAACAATTTGAACTTCAGCCTGGAAAATCAACCGATCATGCCATTATTATTATTGTTCATGATATATTTAAAGCATTTAACGAAATTAAGTTTTCCTTGGAGTTTTGTAGATCTTAGCAAAGCTTTTAATACGGTAGACCTAACACTCTTACTAAAAAACTCAAAAATTTTGGTTTTAAAAACACATTTTTAGATTGGCTCAAAATTTATTCAAACAATAGAAAATAATTTATATCATATGAAGAAGGAAAATCTTCCCACATGACAATAAATTGCGGTGTTCCCTAAGGTTCAATTCTGGGTCCTCATTTATTTCTTATTTATGAAAACAATTTATTAAACCAAAACTGCTTAAAATCTATTTTTTATTTTTCTCTCATACATTGTTATATAAAGTATGAAAATATTGTTTTGTGCAGCTCTAATGTAAGTAAAATTAAAAACTGTTTAGTAGACAAAAACACGCAGTCAGAATTATATCAAGTGCAGATCGATTCATACATACCAAAGAACTATTTAAAAATCATCACATACTCAATGTTTTTTAATTAAACCTTTATCAAATTCTTATTTTTATCAATAAATTTCATAAAAAATTATTATCTCTAATACTTAGTCCACTTTTCATTAAAGTTAATCAAATGTACCCTACAAGATTTTCAAAGTACATTTATGAGCACCCTAAAATGCATTATTTGGCTACCAAATTTTATATTGCCATTACAGGTCCTAAAATATGGAATACTTAATTAATAACGACCTGAAAAATTTTGTTTGAGTTTCTTTTTTCTTATTCAAAAAGAAACTTAAACAAAAACTTATTAACGATGTTAATGAACTAAATTATTTTTTGACTTTTTTTTTTTTTTTTTTTTTTTTGTTCCTATTTTTCCTTTATTTTGAACGATTATTTTATTTGCTTGTTCTAAAATTCTCTTTAAATTATCCTATTAACTTATCTTTAGTTTTTGGGATTGAGAATTTTTTATTTTATTTTTACAATATTCTTTTAATCATAGCTTAGTAACTAATCTTACCATACTTCTGAATACTTGTATATAATTTTTAAATCTAATTGTATGTTTACCTTTTAATTGTATGTTTACCTTTTATTGGTTGTACAAGATTGCTAATGAAAGCATGTCAGGGCGTAGAGGGGCTTTTAGCATCAGTCATGTAGATTTTATTTATATAACACGGGATTTTTTTTTATTAACTCACTTATTTATTACTTTTTACTTATTTACTCAAATCTAGGTACGAAGTTATAGTTTTAAAGCAAAGCTAGGTTGGAAGTTTTTGTTGCAATCAATTCTTGTGTTTCTTTTAAAAATTTAAGTTTTGGTCGGCAGTAAAATGCTCATCATTTCAATGATAATAGTATTATGACGTCATTATTGTCACAGCCATTACTTGATTTCAATTGAACAAACCCAAATACAAACAGAAATTTATCAGTAGCATCGTAGTTCTCATATTTTTCCATCACATCATTTTTTGCATTTTCATGTTATTGACAAACTACTTCTTGCTCGTGTATTTTGAGAAAATGATTTTTTAATCATCCTTTCCATTGTTTTATTTAATATGGCATGAAATTTAATTTCAGATTGCGTTTCTGACACAGAAATAAAGTTTTTTAGAGAGTAAAATGATATTTTAGATTTACATAAATTATGGTAAGAGGGACATACTATCACATATACATACCACATATACATACCACATATATACATACCACATACTATACATATACATACCACATACTATCCTTTCAGTAACTTTTTCTTTGTTTATAAGAATGATTAGGAATCTACATAAAAAGCTAATGTCCCATTACCACTTAACTGTCACCACAAATCATATCAGTAAATTTTATTTGTTCTATTATTTCTATACTTTTTCTAATAAAAGCTAATGTCTCATTACCACTTAACTGTCTGTCACCACAAATCATATCAGTAAATTTTATTCGTTCTATTGTTTCTATACTTTTTCTAATAAAAGTAGCTACAAACAATGTGCTATTTTGGCAGCATTAAGTCTACAACCCTATGTCAGCACAGGACTTATGCAACGTTATGCATAATTCCTTAATTTCTGTCAACCAACTTTTTTTTTATTAAATTTTTTTTTCATTGTCTGCAGTCAACATCTCATCGAATATAGTGGAATACATCACAGTAAACAAATGATTCATTTCTTAAAATCTTGTTAAATGTTATTACAGACACTATAAACTTGTCGCTTAAATATTATCATAAATGAAATTGTATTTTAACATTACTTTGTTGCTTATGACTTGTAGCTCTGAAATGTTTGTCGAAATTTGTTCTTCAAGTTGTTACCAATTAGGGATTGTTATTGTGAAATATCATTAGTTAGCCAATTCCTTGAACTCACTTTTATCCGCTTAGCTTGGATAAAGCGATTCACTGTGTACTTTTGGGAAAAACGGGAATGCAATATGGCGAAAGCCTTATTTTGGAAAAACCGCAGCCGGGCTTACTGAAAAAAGAGAGACTAAGAAAAAACCGTAACAGTAAAGAAAAAGAAAAAGGATGAAAAAAGCACATGTTAATGATGTTGCAGATGAACCTGAACTGACTTTATGCACTTAGAGTGGGATCGATGTCGATGACCCGAAATAATGTAACTTGAACGTAGGTGTAACCTTTGCAATAAACCATGCCTTCTAAGATGTTCACAGCTATCTGCAAAACTCTGAATTTTAGGCTATGCTTTTCTCTCTACTTATTGCTGTTACAACTCTACCCACATTTTTACTAAATATTTGTTCTGTTTTTTTTCTGTACAAAGTTTCCTGTTATGTGGGTTGCCCTGTAAGTAAATATTTGCAACAAAAAGATATTATACATTTTTTTAGAAAGGGTACCAAACTTGTACATATGTTAAATTTTCAAGAAACTTTTTCCTTTTTTTTTAATCTGAAATCATCAAATTAAAAGTTTAAAAAAAATTAGTAAAAAATTTTTTGAAATAATTTCTCGAAATATTCTTGTCTTGTTTGTACTTTTATATACTTATTTTTAGGCAAAACTATAAATGAATCGCTAACTTGTAAAAAGGGTACGTGTCCTGCAAAAATTCACATAAAATGTCTCCTTTTTCAAGTTAGCAATTCAAACTAGAGGTCACACTATTTATAGTGTTAATGAAAATATGTTATTAAAAGAATGTTGATACATTTTGTGACGTAAATTTTTGCTTTGTTTTTTTTTTTTTTTACATATTTAATTTTTATACAATTAAATTTTATATTTAATACATTTAAAATCGAATATATTAAAGTTCATGAATGATAATACTTGTTTTATTTATATTTAAACTATTTTTTGTTTTCTGTGTATTTAAAGTAAATGGGAACCTTTTTCCACAAGTAATGTCCACGATACTGAATTGAGAATGAAGCTAATTTTAAATTATATCGATGAAACAAAAAAGTTATTTGAATTTCTTGTTGGGTTTTTGTAAAGTGTTTAGTCAAAATAGGATTGAATTTTTTTTTTATAAATGATGAACCTTGCTATATAGTTATTTTGAATAAAACTAGCTTAAGCAGACCTCTGTTCCATATACTGAAACTTTTACTAAATTTCCCTGATGTTCCTAATCCTAAATTACAAATGAAATATATTACAAATGTGCATATTGTACAATACGGAACATTAAATGCCTGATGTGGAATTTTAAATGCCTTATATGGAGTTCTTCAAGGATCAATCTTTTGACCACTCCTAGTTTTAAATTCATGTTAATTACTTTTTTAATGCAGTATTAAAACTGAATTCCATAATTTTTGGCGACAATGTAAAGCTTTTCTTTCCAAAAATGATATTAAATAACAGATATGAATATTAAATTAAATAAAGTAAATATTTGGTTATAGGCAAACAAACTACTAATTAATCTTAGAAAAACAAATTATACTTTTTTCTATAAAAAAAAAAACACAAGAAATAAACCTCTTAAGTTACCTAATCTTCTTTTTAAATGGTAAACTAATTAAAAAGCAAGTCTGTATAAAATTCTTTATTATTCTTATTGATAAAAAGTTATCCTGATTTTCCCAAGTAAAATAAATTTCGTTAAAAAATACCAAAACTATCGGCGTGATGTATAGAGTTTGCTGATATGTTACTATTGGCATGATGTATCGAGTTCACTCTTACGTTAATATGCAATGTCTCAAATTGATAAAAAAAGAATATTTAACTATTTTGTTTACGCCTTCTTCCTTACCGATGTCATGAAATATAGCAAGTGCTCGTTTTGAACCCTGGAACTCCTGCTTATAAAGCAAAGACCACGCCCGCTCATTGGCCTATACATCTAATTTTTATGAATAGATTTTACAACAACCTCATCAACAAGATGTTTGAAATAAATTTAAAGGAAAAGTATAATCTAAGTTTAAATGTAAACAACGCTTATAAAATGCCTCAGGAATGCATTAAACTCACATAATATTGTATAGCATATCATAGACCTAAACTATCGAACGCGTGTTTTTGTTTAAAGAACAATTTTTTGTTATGTATAATTTATACTTATATCCACGCAATATAACAATAAATAAAAAAGAAACTTTTCAGAGATTTATTATTTAGAAATGGTTTACTCCGATAAATCATGGCAATATTTTTTGAAATGCTTTTTTCATTAATCTCCATATGTGTTTTGCTTCGCAAATGTTCATCTAAAATTAGACCTAAAAAGTTTACTGTATGTATGTATCGGGTGGACACGAAATAATCCGGTCAACTTTAAATTGAGATTTCTCTAAAACCATAAATGCTTTTTATTTAAATTTTTTTTAATTAACTTTACTTCTTTATCTTAAATGGTGTTGATAAACTTTTGTTTACAAATTAATGATTCGCAAAATGTTTCGGAAACAAATTGAGGTGCGTAAAAAAGTTGTGAATTTTTTTGCAAAAACTCATCGACTTCACATCGCTTGATTGCTAAACGCACAAATGTTCTAAAATCTACAGTCATGGATATTATAAACAAGTTCAAGACTACTCAAAGCTTCAAAAGAAAACTTTGAAGTGGAAAAAAAAAAACTTTCCATAAATCCAAAATGGTAAAGTTGATTTTAAGTTCAATAGCAAGAAATCCAAACCAGTCATAGCAAGATCTAGCAAGATAATTTAAGACTTCTCGTTCTTATATCAAAGAAGTATTTAAGAATTCTGGAATTAAAGCATTTCTTAAAAAAAACATTTAAGAGAAGTTTAAATTGTAAAATTAACGGAATTCGACCCGCAAAGAAGTTGGTTAAAATAATGGCAGATAAAAATATGTGCATAATTGAAGACGACGAAACATATTGCAAGGCGGATTTTTCACAACTTCCTGGTCAATAATTTTACTATGAGAACAAAGATAAACCTCTCGAAGATCAATTTAAATATATTCGACAAGAAACTTTTGCATTCAAGTTCCTTGTGCGGCAAGCAGTTTGTAACTGTGATATGCAGTCCTCTTGTTTTGTCACTAAGAAGATCTTGACTACCAATCTCTACATCAAAGAATGCCTCCAAAAAAGACTTTTTTCGTTTATGAAAAAAAAATATCATTTTTTATATATATAATATATAAAAAATGTCTCTTTTGGCCCAATCTTGCTGTCTCTGACTATTCTAAAAAAGTTGTAGAGTGGTGCAAAGATGATAATGTGAAAATTGTTCCTAAAGATGGAAATCCTCCAAATTGTCCTGAAGAGCCCAAGATTGAAGATTTTTGGGCAATAGTTAAAGGAGTTCTTTGTAATACAGGTGGAGTAACAAATAATTAAAAGGATTTCCAAAAAAAGTGGATTAATGCCACCAATAAGGTGAAAAAAGAAAAATCTGCGAAATGAAGGCATCAACCCTCTATAAAGTCCGATCTCTTGCCAAACAACACATCAAGACCCTTAAAATTAAGTTGAAATTCTAATTTATGTAAACACGTTTAATAATAAAAAAATTGAAATAAAAAGTCCACCCAATATGTATGTATGTACCTATAATTGTATGTATCTCAAATAATGAACAACAATATTAAAAAATCGTAATTGCTTTAAAACCAATAATTTATTCAATAGTTTTAATGTGAAATAACTTTACAAAAATACATTTAAAAATAAAAAGTCATAATTCAAGTGATTCTGTTTTTTATCTCCATTTTTTGTCATTTTCATTACTTTATTTTATGACATGGAAAATGGTATACCATTGAACGTTTAAACTGGTTATTGAAAACGCCATAAATTAAAGGATTTAACGCACTGTTTAAAAACCCAAGCCACATCGTTATTGTGTCTACTAAGTCTATATCTCCGACTATTTTAAGTGTTCTAAGTATATTAAAAACACAGTAGGGTACCCAACAACATATAAAAGTTATTACAACAATGCTTATTGTTTTCAGTAATTGCAGTTCTTTGATATTTATATCAACTGAAAGACTTGAATTAAAGGTTTTTTGGAACTTTTTTTTACTCATTAAACATGATTTAGGATAATCTTCACTGAAGCTTAAACTACTTGGCGACTGACACTCTATTTTGTTATAGTATCTTGTGTCAAATGGATCTAATGAGTATTTCTCATTTAAAATAATGTTTTTAGCACTTGAACAGTCAGTTTGCTCCATAGATTTTGCTGTTAATTTACGAGAGATATCAGAGTGATATAGTTTTTTGAAAATAAGAAGGTAACAAACAACCATGATAACAATATTAAATAACAGGCCAAACAAAGCAATAGTTATTGTATGCGACTTACTTTTTTGAAAGAGTACAGTACAAACTTCTTTTCCAGGTTCAAATCCTAGTTCACCCCATTTGAATAATGGCGTCAATGAAAAAAATAAAGATATGATCCATACGATTGTAATGCCACATGCAGCACTTTTTTTAGTATTTAAACGATAAGTTTGTTTCACAACAAAAAAGTACCGTTGCAAACTAATACCTGCTAAAGAAAAAACAGATGTCAGAGTTATTGTAAGTTTCATTATAGCAAATGCCTGACATGATTTAAAACCAAACCCCCATTTTGAATTATAAATGCTGATAAATGCAGAAGGTATAATAATTAATGCTTGAAGGAAATCTGCAGCAGCCATATTAAAAATAAATGCATTTTGTAACTTCCTAAGTTTTTTTATTTTTATTCCAGCAAATAAAATCAAAAAGTTTCCTATTAAAGCAGTAATATCAATTATAAACAGGGAAATTATCTTCAACCATCCAATGGAATCCATTATGATCTCAATAGATTGTTGTAATAAGATATTAGGCGAAGTTTCAGTCTTTTATATAATCTCCTTTTAAAATCTTCTTCTCTAAAAATAAAAAAGTTACAAGATAAACAAAATTTTAGTCTTTAACACAATATTCTTTTAGAAACTTCTTTAAAAATGACGGAAATTAATATCTTTATTATTTATTTTAACAATATGCAAAAACAAAAAACAAAACCAAAATTTATAAAAAATTATATTTTTATAATTATTTTTATTTGATATTATATTCGTTTTATTTTTTTAAATATATAAAGTGTCGGGATTTTAATTTAAAAAAATTATTAGGAAATTTCAAAATTTCTGGACTCATTTTAAGATGAGTCCAGAAACTTTCATTTGTGACTATACAGACGGTCAAGGCCGGTCATTGGATATCCTGATGGTCTTTCAACTACATGGGACATGTTGTTTATCTAAATGAAGGTAATAAAATAATATAGGAGAATTTGAATCTGAGCATATTTAGTGACCGTGACAGCACAAGTAATCATTTTAGGGGGGTTATGCAATGTTTAGACATATTTACAACAAAAAAGAATATTTTATATGTCTTTGTAAAGATATATTTTGTTGGGGAATTGAAACACAAGGACATTTCTCCTCTTTGATGTTGGAAAATTCACTTTTTAAGGCGCTATTTATTTGGATATAATATTCGGATTTCAACTGCATTAGTTTAGTGAAGAAAAAATAGACAAACTTTCTTGCTTAGTTTTTAACAACATTTCATCCAGTTTTGCAGTTGTGGAAACTTATATTTTCCACAACTGAGAAACTGGATAAAAATGTTTAAACTGAGTTTAAAAGCATTTATTCACAAACGAAATATTTTAATTGACAAAAGTAGAAATTTAAAATTTTTTTTTTATCAAACATATACCGTAGAAATGGTTAATTACGGAATTTTTTTTACTAAAAATTGAATAACTTGCTTGTAAGAACGATTAAAAAACTTTTTTTTTTTAAATAAACATTACGAAAAGACAATTTGAACATATATATAAAAATATAGTTATTATTTAGTTTAATATTGCTATTAATTTAGTAACAAATAATATACTTTTTTTTTTCTAATTACAAATCACTGGTGGTGAGAACAAAGAGAATGCCAGGTTTTATATCGTGTCACTCAAATGAAACCTTTTTTTATTGAATAGATTTGTCTTATAACGAAGAAAAGAGTTTTTAATTCAAACATGACTAAGGACTAATATATGGCGTTTAGAATATTAAATCGCCTTTCTGGTCTTATCAAATTTTTTATATAATTTTTTCATTTTCACGATAATTAAAAAAAAAATGACATTACCATTATAAAATTAATATACTGAGCATAAGAATCATTGCAGGGCAAAAACGAAAACAGTTTTAGAGTACTGAGAATCTCTTGATTACATTTAAAAAAGAAATTACCCCAATATAAAGATTAGTTTTTGTGCAAACAGTGGTTAGCGCGCATGCCTTAGAAGCTAGAGATCCGCGTTCCAACGTCACTTCTGGGCAAGTCTTATAACATCGGTAAAAAATGAGGCGCGAATTTTCATTCAAATGCTTTTTCGTGGTGCTCTGTGATAAAAGCGTAAGGACTTTTTGGGACATCTAAAATAAATTAATAAAGAAAAAGGTATTTAGTTGCATCTGTCAATTTATTTTCAATTAAAACATAGAAAAATCTGAATTCAAGAACTATTTTTGATTTCTTTTTTTTATTAAATAAAAAGAATTTGTATATTAAAATTTAGTTAAAATCAAAATTTTCTCTATTCTACTGTATTTAAATATAGGTTCATATACAATCTGTTCTTTAAACTATCAAAGTGTGAAGAACAAAAAATTAATATATTTAAATATTAACAAAAAACCTTGTAAAATATAGATTATTTTGGAAAAAGTTTTTTTCACTAAAACATTGTTTTCTTATTAATACAGTTATTAAACCTGTTTTAATTGATGCAAAATTTTATATTAGGTCATTTTGTTAATCAAAATTATTTAAAAAAATAATAATAAAGTCTTCCATTTTATTAATTTATAAAGTTTTTTTATTTTTATAATTATATCTCATATAAAAATTTTGAAGCTTTTTAAAATTAAAAAACATTTAATGACATTTATTTTTAACTCTTTAAATTGAAAAATTTTTGCAGTGTTTGACAAAAAACACTTTTACTTTAATAACAAAAAATTTTATTGTTATTGAATGCTTTTTAACAGCTACAGCATTTGTAATAAGTTTAGTTGTACTTATATTTATAATGTGTATTTAATAAACATATTCGAAATAAATACGACTCAGAATTATGACTTTATTTATCCGTTATAAAATTTAAAACACTTTTTGAAACATTACATTTTTTTTCTCCTGATTTTACCATAAAAGAAAATAGAAAGAAAAAAAGAAAATTTCTAGAAATCTTTTTTGAACAAAAACAATGTTGTTATAACTTTGCCAAATAGGTTGAGTTCTCTTTTTAAAAAATTAAAAATCTAAACAGTCGATGACGTCTCGATTTAAAAATTTATAATCTCATCATTTAAAGGCGAGTTTCCTTTCATCGGGAAAGCGAACGGGAACGAAAAAAATAAACTCGTGAGCATGCGTAATTTAAGTTTTAATTTGTGAGAAAGACAACTGCGCATGCTTACGTGATTATTTTTTCGTTTCCATTCCCGTTCCCGTAGAAAATGGATGAGTGGAAACTGGGATGCGTAGATTATCGGAGATTAATTATACCAATAGTTATATATTGCTGAATAGTTCTAGTTCTATATACTACCTAGCATGTGTTGCTGGTTAGTATATTGGCGCAGCTATATTAAATGAGCCGTTAAAAAACCGTAATTTTTATTAATTAAGCCACCAAAAAGATACGTTAAGAATTTTAACATTGGACTAAATAAATTGTGATGATTGCATTGAACAAACAAATAATTTAAAAATTTAATTCCGTTTATTTTAATAAAATAGCAGCAAATAAAACTTATTGATAGCTAATCAAAACTCATTATCTGTAAGTTATCGTTTTGTCATTAACTTAGAAAAAAGGTTTGTTTCATTCGTGTAGTTTTATTCGTGCAATTTTATTCTGTGTTGTATGTTGTTAAAAGTTTGGTTTTAATACTTCTATATGTTTTGAGAATTTAATACTTCTATATGCTAGTTTTGAGAATTTAATACTTCTATATGCTAGTTTTGAGAATTTAATACTTCTACATGCTAGTTTTGAGAATTTAATACTTCTATATGCTAGTTTTGAGAATTTAATACTTCTATATGCCAGTTTTTTTTCCATAAAATCAAAAGTAAAAGTGTTTTTTTAATGAAAAAATTTAATTTTGTTCAATGTAAAAAAAAAAAAAATGTAAAAAAAATTGTGAAAAACAACTTGTAATTCTTACAAACCAAATTATTCCAAAAACTACGCAAGTAAAATTTTAACCTTCAATAAAACATGTTTATCAACAGTATAATGTTTAACAAACTTTTTTTAAAGTTTCGATTTCGATTTCGACTTTTCCATTTATTTAATCCATTAAAATAAAATTACTTTACGAAACTTCTCAAATTTAGCGTGTTTCTCTTTTTTAAAATAATAAATTGTTAAATCTTAATATTGGTTAATAAAGCCGTATAACTTTTTTGTTGTTTTATGAAACTTAAGTGACGCAGAGAGTTACAATTATATTCCATTACAAAAAAAGCGGTTGCACAAAGGTACCTTAATAAGAACCTAGGTTCTTACAAATGCTAAAAATAAAAACAAAAATAACGCTAAGCAATCATTTAAAAAATAATAATTATTATTATTATTGTGCTAGCAACAGTTTTGTTGTTGTTTTTTTGAAATATAAAAATTGAAATTTAAAAATTATTTTTTTTTAAATTTAAAAAATCAATTTTAAAAACACAAAATTTTACTTGGTCATCAGTAAATAAATTTTATCGGTATATAAACTTTACGTGGTCAACAGTAAATAAATTTTCTGTGGTCATCAGTAAACTTTTACTTATTATTTTACATTTCTCTTTAATGAGGTTTTCAGTCAAAGTTGTATTTACTTCAAGTTTTTTGAAACTGCTCTTATAAGTGTTGGAAAAGTAGGGATGTACCGAAAACTCATCTTCGGCTAAAGCCAGGAGTTATGTTTGCCGAATCATCGGCTTTGGCTAATTATTTTTAGTAATTAAAGTTACTTAACCTTAGTTTTTAATAATTGTAGAAATAAAGTAAAATAGTTGCGTAATTTTGTTGTAGAGCAACCTTTGCTGGAACTAATCAGTTTTTATTTTGACAACAATTGTTTTACAACATAAAATTCATTATACAACCGACGTTAAGTTGCATCACTTACACTAGTTTCCACTGTAAAACAAGTTTGTTGTGCAACTATTGAACGACTTTCCCACAACAATTACAAACAAAATGTTTAAGTAACTGGTATATTATTTATTAAATTTAACGCTTTAGTCTTGATAGGTTAAAAAAATTAAATGCAATATTATTATTCAAAGTAGAATATAAAGAGGTTCAAAGCTTTAAATTTACTTGAATGGGCGTGAAACTCAAAGCTGTCTTTTTTTATATTTGTAATTTGAAGTTAAAAGAAACAGAGTTTTGCCTGAGTATGAAGAACAAACTACGTTTTAAAATTAAAATATGCGTAATTTCATCGAACAATTCTCATTTAATTAGTAATAGACTAATATCTTCTATTAATATTATTAAATCTGCTCATTTGTACTAACTGTTTTTACTATACTTTTAAGTTCAAATTAATGTATAGTTTATAATTTGGCTTGTTTAAATTGATGCGATAAAGTGAATCAAGTTCCGTAACGTATGCATTTATTTATTCACTAAGTGTTAACGTATGCATTTATTTATTCACGTAACGTATGCATTTACTTATTCACGTAACGTATGCATTTATTTATTCACGTAACGTAATCATTATTTATTCACGTAACGTATGCATTTATTCACTAAGTAGTAATTACTAAACACAACTATTAATTAGCAAAGAGTATATTATTTATATATTATTTAAAGTTCAAATCTAATTTTGTAGATACTTTAAAGATTTTTAAAACTTTAAATAGTGCCAGTGCCCAAATGTTAATGGATTCAAAGTTCAAATTAGAATATTCAATATATAAACATAAATTATAAGAACTGCAGAGTCAAGTGTAGACTTTACATTATATCTTGTATTATTTACTTAATAAGTAATGACGTACTAATTAGTAGTTAATTAAAGTAATAAATTAGTTGCTAGTAACTTCTAACTACACACATAAAAAATTCATGTCTATACGCAACTGCCTGTAATTCTTTCCTTGTGTGACTATATATATATTTTTAGAATTATATGTAGATCAATGGTTGAATTAAACAATCGCGATCTGCAAAATCTGCAAAAATATCTGGTCTTCAAAATTTTAGTTAATGCAAAGCCGTGAACTTTGTTTTCAAGGAGCAAATTATTATAAGTTTATAAGCGAAAAAGTTATAAAAAACTAAGCACAACAATAAACTTACGACTACAAAAGTAATAACAGTCAAGTCACTAACTGCATTATAAAAGTAATAAAACTATAATAATGTTTTTACTTTTACACTTATAACTTTTAAGGTTTTAAATTTTGAAACCAACCAATAAAAAATATTTTTTTGGTTGATTTTAAAACTAATACGCGTTTTTACGGACCATTAGTAACGTTTTTCGTAATGCTAAACTTTTTATACAGTACGTTTTTATCAAGTTGTTTAAGTTCCTTATTAAGTTTTAAGCATTATTTGAATACCCACTCTATTTTTCTAGATGCTTTTCTACTTGAATTAAAATTTGGGATTACTTATGTTACTTATACAAATAATGAATTATAAAAATTATAAATGCGTTATAAAAGTAATAACACTATTATAGTGTTATATATATATATATATATATATATATATATATATATATATATATATATATATATATATATATATATATATATATATATATATATATATATATAAAAGTGAGCAATTGCGCATATAAATATGCTATAGCAGATAAAATAATTCGAATAATTTATAAATTGCCTTAACTACACCGAACTTAAACATCATAAAGCGTTCATAACGTTCAAAAAACGTTGAATGGATGTCTTTTTATGAGAAAATGCTTTGTTTGTTTTTTTAATTAGTAATATAGTTAGATAGATACACAAGATAGCAAATTTTAGCTGTATAAAAATAAAGTTTCGGCTTCAGCAAAGTGGCTTTGGCAAATTTTGGGCTTCGGTACATTCTTACTGAAGAGAGTGACTAAAGCAAATTAAAACAGACACAAACAACAGACTGCTGAAAACAAGTTAAACAGACACAGAACAATAGACCGTTGAAAACAAGTTAAACAGACACAGAACAAAAGACCTTTAAAAACAAATTAAATATTTTTTGTCGCCCTAATTAATAAAATACGAGAATAGTAGACAATGTGTGAAAATATTTTTTATATAACTTATATAAAAACTACTAAAAAATCAATTGAATTCAAATTGAGTATGCAAAAACAGAACTTTTTTCAAAATTTAGACAATGGGTTTATTTCTTTCAAAAACTAATATATTGTAACAAAATATATTGTAAAAATATATGTAAAAAAATATATATATGTAAAAAAATTTATTGTAACAAATTGCAACATCTATAAAAAATGGTGGCGTAAACTTTGTTATCAAAATGTCTTTTTAATTTTATGCTTTAATAGTAATTTTTTACTTTAGATGTGCAGTTGTGTTGCAATTGATGTGCAATTCTACACCAGCATTTATCAGCAATTGCGAAAGTAGTTTAACAAATATATTGTATTATAACATTAGTTAACAAATATATTGAAAACAAAATATAACACTAGTTTAACAAATATATTGAAAACAAAAAACTTAACGTTTACTTTAACATCCAAATCTTTGCTCGTGAATGTCTGAAAAATTACTTTTTAAGGCGCCAACTAAAAAGTCAGTTTTACATAATATTACTATTAGCAATTCTTTAGACACTCCACTAAAAAACGATATTAGAATAAAGATTTAAAAGTTTGTATTGATTTCAACTGCATTAGTTTTGTGGAGAAAAATTAGGCAAATTTTCTCGCTTAGTCTTTAAATAACATTTTATCCAGTTTCTCAGTTGAGAAAAATATTAATTTCCACATCTGAGAAACTGGATATAAATGTTAATTACTTTCAAATTTAGTTTAAAAGTAATTTATTCACAAATGGAATATTATAATTGACAATGGTAGGAATTTCCTCTAACATGAAATTCAACAAAAATTTTTTATCAAGCATATTCCGTAGAAATGGTTAATTACGGAATTTTTTTACTAAAAATTAAATTGTTAGAGTGATTAAAAAACTTTTTTTTTTTAAACAAACTTTATGAAAAGATGAGTTAAACTATATATAAAAAAATAATTTAATTAGTTTAATATTGCTAATAATTAATTACAATTTTTGTTATGTTTTTAATTACCAATCACAAATAACGAAAAAGTGACCGCCAGGATTTACGTCGTGTCACTCAAATGAAATCTTTTTTATTTAAGGCTATTTGTTTTGTAATAATAGAAAAAAGTTTTTTTAAATCTATACAAAGTGCTGAGTCATAATTGGGGCAAAACGGTAAAATTGAAGGTATCTTAGCCCATTCAAACAAGATGCACTTTAATTTTTTTTTCAATTTAAGAGTTTTATAAAAATAGAAAAGAGTGTTTATAAAATCGGAAAAAAATGAATAGTCTCAAATAGAGTAAAAAGTAAAAATGAGGGACCTAAGTCCATTTAAGTATTTCAGATACCTATTAAAAAAAAAAAAGAATATGAAATTTAAATTAAAAAATATGAATAACAAAAATATGATATAAAATAATAAAATTAATAAAAATAAATATAAAAAAGTTACAAAATAAATAAATTTCAAATAATTCAAACAAAGTTTAAAACAGCAAAAACATTTTAAAATATTTACAATACTAATGTATATTTGTACATAAACCAACAAAAATTGAATAATTTTCTATCCTGGTTAAGAGTAGCAAGAGAATTTTCTTATTTAAAAGAAAGTTGAAAAAAATGATTTTCTCAATTAAAAACATTCTTTTGCTGTTTATATATATATATATATATATATATATATATATATATATATATATATATATATATATATATATATATATATATATATATATATATATATAATATATATATATATATATATATATATATATATATATATATATATATATATATATATATATATATATATATATATATGTATATATATATAAATATATATATATATATATATATATATATATATATATATATATATATATATATATATATATATATATATATATATATATATATATATATATATGTATATATATATCTGTTAAGGCACTTATCGATGACAAGATCTTATGATCTTCTGCGAGTAACCGCGTTCTTATTGTAACGTTAACAAAATTTGTAATGACTATATGTATTTTATTCATTCTTATATTGTAAAATTCATTTGGAATAAATAAAAAGAAAAAAAAAAGAAAAAAAAAAGTAGCACCCAAAAATTAACTCTAAATTAAGCTCTTCTTCCATTAAAAGTAGCTACAGAGTATACTCTTTTAGATGTTAAAATCTATTCTTTGTTGGTTTAAATTTAAATAAATCTCTCCACACTGTTCAAACTATCTTTGGAAGATAGAGAAGAGTCTTTTAATCTCTACATCTCAGTTTTCCCAATTTAGAACTATAGTTCAGTGTATAACAGACTTTAAAATATGAAAAGATTTTTATTTATGTCAAACTGTTACAACTGAGTATACGTTAGCATTAGCTTAATTAAAAAACTTCTTCCAATTCACCAAATAATAAGAATATATTCACCCAATAATAAGAATATTATCCAAGTTTTATAAACAATTTACAGTTTGCTGAACAATGTGAAGGCTTCATTCTAAATTTAAACCTACATAGAACAGATTTAAGCATGTAGAAGAGTGTACTCTACATCGAAAGCAACTCTGTAGCTACTTTTAATGGAAGAAGCGTTAAATTTAGCGTTATCTTTTACATGCTTTTCTAGAGCAGGATAAAAAATTATTTGATTTTTGTTGGGTTATGTACCATATATACATTTTTTTTAACTTTATTTTGTATTTCGCTGTTAAAATAAATTACAGATGAGTTTTGCATGGTAAATATCAACAAATAAAATATTTTAAAAACAGACCGGAACTCAAAGAAGATATGGGTGATGCAATATCACCTCAATCTTTTCATAGAGCCCTTAATATTATAAAATATTGTCAAAAAAAGTTAAACAAATCCATAAAAATATAAAAGTAATAAAATAAAAAATATAAAATAAACTAAAGATATAATAAGAAAGCAAATTATTTTTACAATTACAATGATATTTTGCAATAACTATATTGCAAATTTAGGTATTTAGAAATAAATACAAACATATTAACAAAGATTTAATAATTAATACATTAAAGACACATATATCATTATATATACTTTCAATAGTTACTACAAAGAATAATAAGTAAAATTCATTTGATTAAATTTTCAAACCTTTTTTGAAATTATTATTCTGCAAAATTAAAAATGTATTTTTTTGCTTGAAACTTAAATGAGTTTAATGATTTTTTTTGGCTTCTTTAAAGAAGATTTTCTTTTTAAACTAGCAATTCGTAATTTAAAATTCATAATAACCCCTGTTTTTACAAAAATATACATTTAACAGATTTTTATATGTAATATTTATTCAAAACGCCTACGCAAAAACTTACTTCGGTTAATTAAAAATAGTTTTTTTATCTTCTAAAATACTTTAAAAATCCACACACACACACACACACACACACACACACACACACACATATATATATATATATATATATATATATATATATATATATATATATATATATATATATATATATATATATATATATATATATATATATATATATATATATATATATATATATATATATATATATATGTATATATATATATATATATATATATATATATATATATATATATATATATATATATATATATATATATATATATCCATCATGGTGAAAAATTAAAAAACACTTAATTCACAAAACAAAATATTAGCAAACAAAATATAACTTATTTTGTTCAACCTTAGAAGTTTTTTTCTATTTTTTTTTTTTTTTTTATTGAGTTACTTTGAGAAAAGAATGTGAAACAAATTTCCTTACTTAAAAACTTCTGCCAGTTAACTTCAAAATACTTGTTTCATTTTCTTTTTTTAAATCTTATAAAATGTTTTGTATTTGTTGAAACAAAATCTTTTCAAATCGGAACAAACAAAAGAAATTTGTATTAATCTTAAAATTTTATCCGGACAATCCTACTTTAGATATAATCAGATAAATATATTCAAATACTTTTAATAAAAGAAATAATAACGCATCAATATATATATTTATATATAAAAAACGAAGTGCTTACTTTCCTTAAAAGTTAAGGGAAAAATTATTCAAGTATATATTTAAGAACCTTAATATATTTTTTTATGTTTAGAAAACTACAGAGATGTTCGGAAGAGTGGGAAAAAACGGACCACTAAGCAAAACAATGAATAATAACGCAGCCGGTTTATAGGAGTTTAATCTATAAGATTAATAACAGTCGTAAAATCTTAAAAAATTAGAACAAGAGTTTTTTCTGAATTTTTAAAAACTGATTTCGTTTTACAATAAAAATTTTACAATAAAAGATCACAATAAAAAGAGGGATACTTGATAAGAATGATGTTGTTTGAACTTATTTCCATATACAAGACATTTATAGATATGGTATACACAAACTTCCATTGATGGTATAATTTGATATGGTATACACAAACTTCCATTGATGGTATAATTTGTTTTTTTACCTATCAAAGATGTAAATGCTGGGGTAGTGTAACCTATAAAGCGCCATTGGGAAGAGAATAGTGTTTTCTAGTGCAGGCGCGGAGTAAAACTATAGGAGGAGTTATAATCAGTAATTACATCATTATAATCGTTGTTCAATTCTTTTTTAGAGCATAACGACATTTAAAAATAGCGACAAAATTCTTTTATGCTTCAGTATTTAAATTAATTAACGCAACAAAGTAGTCGTATATTGTTTAGATACTAGTGTTGGGAAGGTAAAATTTACTGGAGAATTTACCGGAAAATTTTGAAAATTTACCGCCTAGTAAATTTAAAAATTTTTTTTCCCTTATTTTAATTTTTTTTTGAAAAAAAAAATTTTTAGAGGGAAAATTTACCCTCCTCTATTAAAAATCGATAACAAAATACAATCCACAAATTATAGCTAATGAGTTTAATAAATATTTTGTTGAAATTGGTCCAACCCTATCAGATAAAATTCCAATTACCAAAACTTCTTTTCATGATTTTTTAGCACCTCTTGATAAAGGCATTTGCTCAGATGAACTATCGTCCAAATTATCCTTTGAAGAGTTTGAAAAAGCTTTTAAAACCTTAAAAAAAAAATAAAGCAACTGGGCCTGATGAAATAACCGGAAATATAGTTATAGATTGCTATGAACAAATTAAAAATATTCTTTTTAAAATCTACAAAGCATCCATCCAACAAGGAATTTTCCCTGAGCGCTTAAAAATTGCTAAAATTATTCCAATTCACAAAGAAGGCGACAGATCCAATATCAATAATTACCGCCCCATCTCTATCCTATCTGTATTCTCCAAAATCCTAGAAAGAATTATGTTTAACAGAGTTAATAATTATTTTAATTACAATAACCTACTATACAATAATCAATTCGGCTTCAAAAAAGATAGTT